CTGCGGCCGCCCAGCACGGAGGGAGCCGGTTCCTGCGAGCACCGAACGCCGGTTTCGCTGCAGCCGGCACGGACGGCCCCGCTGCAGAGGAGGGCGCAGCACGCGGGGCGGCGGATGCTGCCCGGCTGCAAAGACAGCTCCTCGCACCGCAAACCCAACCACGGCGCTCGCCTGGAAAAACAAAAGCCCCGAGGGCACACTGTGATCACGGGAGCAGCGCTGGCGAGGAGGACACATCTGCTCCTCTCGCTTTATGCCTTTAGTCACGCTGTCCCCTCTCATCAGCGCCCTGGGGACGCGGATGCCTTGCTGCACATCGCCCCGACACGCCGGGGACGCTGCGGACGGGGGCTACGCAGGGCACGAGCTCGCGGGGCTGCGGCGGGCCCTGCCGCGTGCCAGGCTCTGCGGGAGGCGCTGCAGCCCTCCCCGCCCGGCTCTGCACCGCACCGCACTGCACAGCACCGCACTGCACCGCCCAGCACCGTACAGCACCGCACAGCACTGTACAGCACCACACAGCACCGCACCGCACAGCACTGTACAGTACCACCCTGCACAGCACCGCACAGCGCAGCACCATGCAGCACCACACAGCACCACACTATGCAGCACCGCAACACACAGCACTGCACAGCACCACACTGCACAGCACCACACATCACCGCACTGCACCGCGCAGCACCGCACCGTGCAGCACCACAACGCACAGCACCACAACGCACAGCACCACACTGCACAGCACCACGCATCACCGCACTGCACCGTGCAGCACCGCGCCGTGCAGCACCACAACGCACAGCACGGAACCACACAGCACTACACTGCACCATGCAGCACCGCACCACACAGCGTCGTGCAGCACCACGCAGCACTGCGGAGCACCATGCAGCACCGCGCAGCACCATGCAGCACCACGCAGCACCGCGCTGCGCAGCCCGGCGCGCTCTCTGGTGAGCACAGCCGTTTCCTGCATGAAAAATGTTGTTCTGGGAGAAGGCAGAAGAAACGCCAAGGCTCCGCAGCGCGGAGCGCACAAGCACTGCCAAATCCCACACCATCTGGGACCTCTGCGCAGATGTCACCGACCTATTCGCTAACGACGAGGGCAGCTTTCCCTAACCAAAGCCTTCGCCTCCTCTGTGTTTCACCTCTGAAC